TCACAAAGGATCTGGGGAACAGAGAATGTAAAAGGCAGAAAAGGAAGATGAGGGAGATAGGAGCGAGAGGCAAAACAGCCAGGAGGCAGATCTGGGGGAAGATCCTGGAAGGGATCAGTCAGGTAGGAACCAGACAGAGGCAAAGATGAAGTGTTGGTCTGGAATGTGCAGAAAAGCAAAAAAAATACCACTTAGCACTTAGGATAATGAGCTTTTCTCTAAGTCTGTATAATTTTATCTGCCATTCCTGTTTTCCTGAAGTTCTATCCAAGTGGGAGAGCTGAGGAGTTTGTTTGCTGGAGATTTTATTCCCCTTTCTAAGGAGGAGGTTGGTGTTTCTGGTACATCTGCAGCTATAAAATGTTCATGGGTGATTTGGCCAAAAAGAGCTGTGCCTAAACCCCCTGTGAAGTTGTCCTGCCCTGACCCCGCTGCCAGCGTGGGATAACTCCCCGTTGGTGTCTGCAGTCCTGTCTTGCCCAATCTTGTTTTTAATGTCTCGGGAAATTGGGCTTTTATCACTTCCTTAGGCAAATTCCTTCACAGGCTAACAAAGCTCACTTGGGGAAGGCTTTCTGCTCAGATTCAGCGAGAGGCTTGCAAATGAAAAACTTTTTCTTATGTTAAATATGAATTCTTGAATAGCTTATCATGTTATTCAGACTTCTTCTCCAAACACCTCCTTGTTCTTTTTGCTGTTTTAGGTATCCTGCAGTGAGACCTGAATTGTGATCATATTCATTTTTCTATCAGAAAAAAAGAAATTACTCCTGATTATAGAAATAATTCTATCAATTTGGTGTAGCATCGGGTTATAGAATACAAGGGATGCCCATGAAGAAGACACTTTGAATTTTTTGCTTGCATGTCCTAACAGGACTTATTTTCCACCTTAACAAGGGTGGGATTTCCATCTCTGCCCCAAAAGAAGGTCCATGCAGGCCATGCTCCCACTGGATGTGTCCATTCCTCCACCTAGTATCCATCCATTCCTCGTGCTCTGGAATCTGGCAAGCAGGATATCCTCATTTCTAGACTTATTTTGCTCTCTCCTTTTTTTTTCTGTACAACAGATTTATTCCCCATTCCAATTTGCAATTATTTCTGGCCTTGATGTCATCTCAGTTATCTTCTTTCTTTGACTTACAGTCTCCAGTTCATCTTACAAATGCAGGTACAGCTTTTTGTAAACCTTACTGAAGTTTATTTAATCACAAAGGCTTTACAAGGCCTGATGTGTGAAACTCACTCCACATTTGTGCAATACTGTGATAAAATCAGATCTTGGCCAATTTCTCTGTGGGAAGTGTGTTTGAATACACTTTACTTGGCTTTTCACAGCCTGTTGTGACTTCTCATTAACTTAAACCCAGTGTTTCTTCATAGGTTGGAACAGATAATTATCTTGATTATCTTGCCAGTGTTAAGAAGAGTCATCATTCATCTGGAATTATTCCATGGATAAATAAAACCTTAACAGGATAATGGCTCTGTCTGCTGATCACATTTCTCAGGCTGACTCTTCTTCCAAACAAATCTAATTGTTCAAGTTGAAGCTGGGCAGTAGGGAAATTTTAAGAAGTAAGAATGAGTTTTTAAACTCCACATTCAAAATTCAGTTGCAATATTGAAGGGACAAGAAACAGCCTCAGGCTGTGCCGGGGAAGGGTCAGGTTGGACACCAGGAGGAATTTCCTCATGGAAAGGGTGGTCAGGCCTTGGAAGGGGCTGGATTCCCCATCCCTGGAGGTGTCCAAGGAACGAGGATGTCAGGGCTGGTGACAAGGTGGGGACTTGGAACAGATGACCTTGGAGGACATTTCCAACCCTGGTAATCCTGTGATTCTGTGATCTGGTATCAGATTTTTTTCCCCTATTTTGAGGAGGTGGCAGCCAATGGGCAAGTCTGTGCCAGTGCCCCAAATGCTCTGAGCAAATCCCTGACTCATCCCTTCCCAGGGCTGGCTGGGAACTCACCTGGAATTATCCCAGAGCTTTTCCAAGGGGAGGTGGCACCACTCTCACTTTCATGCCCAGCAATCCTGAGTCATCACAGGTAGAAATGGAATTCAGGGATGTCTCATGGACTTTTTTCTGGGATGTTTTCTTCTCCTGCATTGGGATGGTTTGTTCCTACACAGTGTAGCTGCTCTGTGAGCTCCCTTCAATCAAATAAAGTGGTTACTGTGGGCACAGTGATGCTTTGAACTTCCTTGGAACTTTAATTGAGGAATATCAGAAACTCATCAGTCACCAGCCTGCAGAACTTCCACAAATTCCAAAGTTTGGTCATCTAATGTGGTTTCTCCTGTAGATGAACTGAGGGGTGTCTGCTCTGTGAGATTCATGATCATGTTTTCAAAGCCTGGTTAAGAAAACATCAATATGAGCACTCCAAAACCAAAATACTGTGTGTGGTCATTGTGTTGTCAGTTCTGGAGTTTTAAATAACACATGCTGCATGTGGTCACAGTGTTGTTAGCACTGTCTGTTTAATTTTGGTTAATGTGTGTTACCTGCTGGCAGAAGACAGTTGTTTTGTGGGCTCTTCACATAAAATATTTCCAGGTGAGCCAAAATAGCTACAGGAAACCCATTGTGGAGTGCCAAATGTGAGTGTGTGACTGAGGAAAGCATTGTCTGTGGGTTTGAGCTGTGCCTGGTGGACACAGGGATGAACCAGTTTGGTCCCAGTGATCCCACGTGGCTCAGATCCCACTCTTGGAGGGGTTTTACCACAGGAGTTGTTCCATTTCTTGGCCAGGAGAGCTGGAAGGATGAGGAGGGACAGGGAATCAAGCATCCCAGCCTCTGGCACAGCCTGACACCCACCAGCTCCTGGGCAGTGTCTGCTCACTGGTTATTTGTCACCTACCCCCCATGACAGCAATACTGCCACTGGATCTGCTTGTTTTTCCTTAAACCCTGCAAGTTTAAGCAATGTGGTCCCAAAAATGTGGCTTACAGAAGGGTTATGTGGGTTAGACAAGCTCAGCTGTTAATTAAAAGCAGAGAATGAGAAGGGATGGACCCAGTGAGCCAAAATTTCTGCTGGTGCCATCGGGTGCCACTGGCTGTGCCACCGCCCAGGGCTGTCCCCAGCAGTGGGTTCTGCTCTGGGGATCTGCACAGGCCAGGATGTGCCTCTGGGGGAGTTGAATGCTTTCAAATCCCATGTTTACACTGGGAATACTTGGCAGAGCACTGGAGAAGCTGTGCTGCCAGGTGGGCTTTTAAGCCAGGCTTTATTTATAGAGAGGGCACTGGCTGTGTCCGAACCAAACGGCTCCGTGGGTTTGTACAACGTGGTGTTTACAGTTCCTTGGGCTTTTTTAATGAAATAGAAGAGTTGCCAAGACATCAAATAAAGGCAGAACATCTTTGCATATCCTTGCATGCCGTGTTTTATGAGTGAAATCTGGGAATAAGCTAAAGGATGGCGACAAAGCAAAATGAATGCACTTCAGAGCATTCCTGTTCTCTAACTCACAGCATGCCGACTCTGCTTTCCCTGTGCACCTCTGAGATCACCCAGCACCGGGGGTCCCTCCAGGGTGCAGGATTGGGCTGTGGGATGCTCATTTTCAGTGAATGTTGCCAGGACTGGCACCCTGAGCGCTGCTTGGTTTGATTTCACCTTCCTCTCCCACCCTCAGTGCCGTGCAGCATCGCTCTCCTCCTCCTCCAGGTCAGGCTTCTCAGGGCTGGCTGGACACGGGGAATCAGGAGGTGCTCTGCTTTCCCATGCCATGGAATGTGTGTGCACACCCCTTCCTCCCAGCCTCCCACCATCACTCACTGAAGCTCATATCAATCTATTTCTCCCTGGGGGATGACTCCAAAAGCCTTCCCTGGTGCCTGAGCAGCCTCAGAGGCTGCAGGTGGATCTGCTGTTACGGGGAGACAGTAAATCCTGGATGAAGTTTGGATATAGGGGATGTTCTGCTATGACCTAGAGCTGAGGCAGGATGTGCTGGCTTAACACCACCCACCCTGAGATTTGCTGTTTAAAATATAAATACAGATTTGAATCTTCATTCAGCTTTTCCTGAAGAGTAAGGAATTCTCCCAGCAAGGAGCAGGTGCTGCTGGGGTGCAGATCAGTCCTTCCAGTCCTCTTAACTTCAGTGTATAAACCACATCCCTTCTCGTGCACATGGGTTTGCAGGATTCAAATAGCTTGTAAATATTAATAGAAATAGAATATTAATATCTTCTCAGCACTGTGTTTCCCTCAGCTCTACCACTGCGGAGTCCTTCTGCCTCTCTAAAACCCATGGGGAGATTTTAGGGTGGGTCAAGTCCATCCCAAAGATTGGCTGTGATGCCTCAGATTTAGTTTTATATTTTCACATTCTGAGCTGCTTTAGTGTGTGGGTCTGAGCTTCACATCAGGGGATGCTGAGCTCTCTGCACAGAGCAGGGACACAAAACAATTCCTGCTCCAGCTGGGCACCAAGGACAAATGATCCAAATCTCAGCCCAGGAGCACAAACAACGTGCTCTGGAGAGAGAAAAACAAGCAGGGTGGGACTGCCTGGGCTGGAGCTGGAATGGGACAATGAACTCCAAGGTGCCAATGGAGCAGAACTGATCCCAGGGAGAGCCCCCGGGAGCGCTCGTGCATTTTGGGGCCATTTTGGTTCATTTGGGTGCAGCCCTGGCTGGGCTCTGGTGCTGCCCAAGGTGGATCCATGGAGGAGATCCTTTAATAAATCCCGAATTTATTCTGTGACTCTGCCCAGCCTCTGCTCTAGGGCAGCCTGAACAAGGCATCAGCTGCTTTATTAACACGAGGCCTCACAGTGAGCAGCACTGCCAAACCAAGCCAGCCCTGGCCCGCTGCCTTTTCCCCCTTGGCTGCTTCTGCTGCCCAGATGGCTCAGCCTGCCAGCACAGAGCATCAAATCATTTTATTCCTGTGACAGCAACTTGATTCCTGATGATATAGAATCCATATATTAACAGCATCTTGTGGTTCTTCTCTTTTCCCCTTCCAGGAGTGAATTCCTCGGTTGTTGCTGATTTCATGCCCACGTCCTCATGGAACATCTCAAGTGAATTAGATAAAGGTAAGCAGGCAGAAAAAAACCCAACACCACCTGAAATCAGATTTTAAAATCTCCATTTTTTCTTGACTTGACCAAATCAGCAAATAAAGGGGGTCAGGGGGTATTCAAGATAAACCTCATATGCCTCAGGATCCTCTATCATTTAATTCCGTGTGGTTCTGGGATTTCTGGAGATTGCTGTGCGCGTTTCTTGTATCAAGAAAATGTTCCACAGGGCAAAAATATTTAAAGATGTTCTGTCACACGTTTTTTCCTGGTGGATCTTGGGATTTGAACTCAAAATACACAAGCATCAGGCAGTCCGTTTGATCTGATGTATTTTATTACAAAATTTTAAGGCTTTAATAATACAAAATACATTTGCAGGTGGTAATTAGGTGTAATTTGGTGCTCTCCAAGGGGTATATATTGTAAAAAAATGAGAGATTTATCATTCTCCTTCATTTTGTAAATTAAGCACTGCTAATTTAAGGCAAATTGCTGAGATTCCCTCATTGCAAGGCAGTGCAAGCTCCTGAGTCAAACCTGTGCATCTTTGAGGATGCTCTTAGCCACCCTCACTGCACAATTTGTCTACCACTTTTCATTTGCCAGCCATTTACTGCTGAGATGGAAATTTCCCACAGCAGAATTCTATCCCAGATGGTTTTCCCAACTGTTTTTGTCTTTGTTTTGTTACTGTTTTTTGAACATGTGTTCGTAATGTTTGATGTTTATGCATAAATATGTTTTCTGTGCTTAAGGATGAGGAGAATATGTAATTCTGTGTACTTTGGGTTGATTCTTTCACATCTGCCTTCCCAGCAGGCAAGGAGCAGGATTTTGTGGTGATCTAGGCACACAGTGGAGAAGATGAAAGTCAAAGGGCTGGTGCTTGCTGGTGGGAAAGGGAGAAAAGCTTGTGGTCATTCAGCAGAGAATTCCCAAATCCCAGCAAACTGGGAAGGTGTTGACAGAATGGAGTTCTTATCCCAGGTCTGGGCTGTGCTCAGGGAACATCCCAGAGCTGGGGAGAAGTGAAGGTGGTGCTTCCCCCAGGCAGGAGGGTGGAATCACAGAGTGCTTTGGGCTGGGAGGGACCTTAAAGCCCACCCAGGGACACATTTCACTGTCCCAGGCTGCTCCCAGCCCCATCCAGCCTGGCCTTGGGCACTGCCAGGGATCCAGGGGTAGCCACAGCTGCTCTGGGCACCCTCACAGGGAAGGATTTCATCCTGATATCCCATCTCAACCTCCTCTCTTTCCGCATTTCTTCCCTGTTTGGCAGCTTTTTTTTGGTTTTTCAGAAAATAGGAAATAATTAAGTGGCCTAGAAATAAAACTCAGGAGTTTGGAAATGCCAGCAAAGGCAAAACTTTGACTTGGGAGAGTCCAAGCACTCTTGATTGAAGGATCTCCCCACGTTACCTCCGTGGCACCTGTTGCTGAGCTGGAGATATTGTCAGGTAAAACGAAATTCCCGGTTTCTAATCCGCCTGGAAAGCAGCAATGAGCGGCTGGGGCTGAGTCCCGCATTCCTGGGGGATTACCGGCCCCTTTGCTGCGGCTCATTAGCGTTTAGAGCTCTGGAAGCTGCCACACCTCAACTCGGATTTACATACGGGATTAAAACAAAGGTTTGTGCCCGAAAAGCTTCGTCAGAGGGGCGGCTTCTCCCGGGGCTCTGCCAGCAGAGGCACGCAGGTTCTGGCTTGTCTCACCTGGGCTTTCATGTGGGAGCTGCTGCTTCCCTCCAAGCCCTGAAACTCCAGCTTGGATCGAGCCAAGCCCTGGGCAGCACACGCTGAGCTGGGCTGGGGAAACCTCCCAGGAGAAAATGAGGCTGGGTTCCCATTTGTTTTGCATCTCAAGGAGTGTCTTGGTTTGAACAGACAGGTGTCTGCTGAGGAAGGCAGGAGCCTCCCCTGAAATGGAGAATGCAAACCCCCTCCCTCCAGATTATTATAATTTTGAAATTAAGGGAGTCTCAGGCAAAGATATGGAAGTAGGAATAACAGTTCTTTATTAGGTAAGAAAATAAAAATAAAATAAACAATGCAGTAATACAAAACCCCACTGCCAGAGTCAGATCAGGCCCTGTCCCCCCGTGGGTCAGGGAGGTGGCAGCAGCCCCATCCCAGGGTGGCTCAGCCCTCCTGCAGTGCCAGCTGTGCTTCTGCTGGAGCAGGATCCTGCACAAGGGGGAGTTTTCCTCTGGAGCTCCAGGGCTGGGGGAGATGGGCCTGGGCTCCTCTGGGAATGCAGTGGGAAGAAAGCTGCTCCTCTGGGAATGCAGTGGGAAGAAAGCTGCTCCTCTGGGAATGCAGTGGGGAAGAAAGCTGCTCCTCTGGGAATGCAGTGGGGCACAAAGCTGCTCCTCTGGGAATGCAGTGGGAAGAAAGCTGCTCCTCTGGGAATGCAGTGGGGAAGAAAGCTGCTCCTCTGGGAATGCAGTGGGGAGAAAGCTGCTCCTCTGGGAATGCAGTGAGAAAAGGCTGTTCTTGTGTCCTAAAATCTCAGATTGTATCCAGGTAGGAATGTTTGGCTCCTCCCCTGGGCAGAGCCTCCTCCCATGGATGATGGAATTTTCTCAGCCATGCAGGGACACTCACTGCCATGAACAGAAGATAATTAATAATTAATGGCCCATGAACAGAAGAGATCTCTTGGAGGGAGGATTGGCTGTGGCAGAGATAAAGAAAACTGCCCCATGAACAGAGGATAACTGCCCCAGCTCTGACAGATGGGAATAGGATACAGACTCCCAGCCACATCTTGCATTTCCAACCCAAGACAAGGAGCCAAAACCCACTTGTCTTCCAGGAGGTGCCGGCATTGCAGTAAAACTCATTTTAAAGCCTGTTAAGTTCACCACATGAAAGTGGATTCCAAGCAGATTTCCCAATTAAATCCCTGCCTGCTCTAAGTGGCTCTGACTCTACCTGCTGCCTTTTGGAAACGAGCATCTCCTCCTCCAGTGTGTGCCCTGTGTTGGGGAAGGAGGAACAGCTTGATAATAATATTCTGCATTTTGAAATAATGACTTAATTTGGTGCTTTCCCTCGCCGGGTGAGTTCTGCAATGATTATCTTACAACTGAGCCCTATTCAGGTTTCAATTTCTATTAAATAAGCTAAATCGACAGCATTAAACAGTTGCCTGTTTATTCTTTTTAGCAGGAAATGAATTTAAAAGAGACGCAGCCACCCGTGAAGAGCTGTTGAAAGCAACGATTGATGGGAGGGAGGAGGTGGTTTCTCACCAAAACCTTAAAAAAACAAACAAACTGGGCATAAAAAATAAAAAATAATCACTTTTAAAAGGGGGAGATTTAGCTATTAGCATTTCTCTCTCTTTCTCTACTGGTAAACCGTGGTGTGCAGAGGGAATGCCACGAGGGAGAAAGAGAAAGGAAAATATGATCCTATAAATATTTAATTCTATAAGGAGAAATAAGTGAAGTTGGGGGAAAAAAGGGGGATAGTGGTGGTAGGAAAAGCTCCATTCTAGGGGAGTGGTGGCAGCATGTGGAGCCTTTCATTCCCAAGTTTTTTGAGATTCCCTTTGGTGGGGGGAGCCTGGAGCAGCCCCAGGTGGGAGATCTCCCATGGGACTGTGGTTCATTGCTCCAGGAGGTTGGGAAAAGCCTCATCCATGTGTGCTCCTGCACAGCCCCAGGATGTGGCACAGGGGTTTCTCCTTGGATTTCTCCTTCCCTGTGCATTGCCTGCCCTTCTGTCCCCTCTGACCACCAGCTCCTGCTCCAGCTCTTTGTCTGGGAAAGCTCCCAGTTTCCCACCTTCTCTCCCTTCTTTAGCAAGGTGAAGAGCCCTCCATGCAGCTGGTCCTATCCCACAGAACAGATCATGGAAGGAGAGGCTTTTCCTTCTTCCTTCCATCCCATGTCAGTTTATTTACAAAGAAATAGGCCTGAATTGGAACGAGAACCTATTTACGTCTGCTCCACTGGAGGAATTGTTTGGGATCTCTTCATCCTTAGGCAAAGATTATATTGGAGTCCTTGGCAGGAAAGAGTCAGCTTTGGAATATTATTTTAACTGTGAGCAGGACTCAGCTTCAGTGGCTGTTCATTCTGCAGGGCTGCTAAGGGAATGGTGCAGCTGCCCTGGAATGGGTCCTCCCAGTGCCCCATTCCCACCTGCAGCCTCCTCCAGAGGCACAGGGATGTGTCCTGGCTGTGCTGAGGGCACTGGGGCAGGGCTGCAGCTCATTTCTTTTGTTGGTTCCTCCTCCCAAGATCTCTTCCCTTGATCCTTCAGCTTCCAAAGAAAACCATCGCTGTGAGTTTTTTTGCCTATTTTCCTTTTCCTTTCATGGCCTATCAGCTCTGGCAAGCCTTGGAGCTTGGGAACCATTTCCATTTCCAGTCATCCACGATCCCAAGCCCAGGCTTTGAGCTCCCCACAGCCTCTGTGGGGCACAGCATTTCCCAGTGCCTGGAACAAACATTCCCTGGAGAGCTCAGCAGCAGGAGTCAGGATCTGACAGTGGAAGATCCAGCTGGGATTTATCCTTAACATTCAAAGGCATATCAAGGATCACTTGATATCACTGATCTGGGGATGCACAGCCCAAAATGAGTGTGGAGGGTCCGCAGAAGGGGTGGGAGAGGTGCAGCATTTGGGACTGCGTGTCCTGAACTTCCTGGAGATCCTGGTGTGGGCAGAACATTCCCTGGAAGGGCTGGACAACAGCAGGAGGGAAATGCAGACAGGAAGGTCTGCAGGACATGGGGTGCAGCCAGCTCAGGGAGCCTTTGGCTCTCCCTCACTGACAAATCCAGGCTGAAGCTGCCACCTTGGCACGTCCTTGCAGGCAGGGAAAGGACCTGGCTGGGAGATCTTCAAGAGAAGATCTCGGTGATGTCCCAGGGAGGATTTGACTCTTAGGCAAACTACAACCCAAACATAAACACAACCAAACGTGGGGAAAACCAGGTGGGTCGAGGCCTCCTGCCTTTGGCCCCAGTCCTTTAGAGATTCCAGATTCTCCTTTGAAAT